GGATATCACATGAAGGGTTTTCAGTGGGGAGGAGCAGGGGAAGTATAGGGGGGAAAAGGTACATGGAAAAAGAAGCATAATTGGTAGGCATAAAATAAACAGGAAGAGGTCAAGAATGGTACAAAAAACAGAAATCAAAGAACTTATATGTACAACCCATGGACATGAACTAAGGGAGGGATATGCTGAAGGGTTGGGGTGCAGGGTGGAGTAGGGGTAGAAAATTGGGGAAACTAATAGCATAATCAATAACATACACTTAAAACAAAGAAATTTATGATTGTGGTGAGTACTTTGACCTCCAGAGATGTTCACAGTCTTCTAGCTTAGAGTTAATTCAGTAAAAAAATTTTTTTTGAAAAACCATACCCATTAGTTTTTAACTTTTTTCTACAGGAATATATGATCTCATGAGTGTGGGGCACTTTTGTACATACCTAGATTTTAATGGTTAAAATAGTAAATGTAAATAGGGTTTAGCATAAATGGTGAAAAGTTTTCCTCCACCTGATATCTCAGTTCTCAACCACTGCCTTAGAAAATTTTAATGGGCATGTCCTGATAGAAACTTTTTTTCAAAAAGCAATTTAGTCAGCTAAAATTCATTAACAGAGGTTATTATTTAACAGATACCTATGTATGTTTTAATGGAAACACAATCACCTCCAGTTTGTTGTAGAGTTTGATTTTTGAATATCTAATTTGCTTTAAATTAATGCATCTAAATCCTTACTATATGCACTTATTACATGGGAATCTTGTTAAAATGCACACTCTGATTTAACAAGTCTGGAATGGGGTCTGAGATTCTGAATTTCTACCATGCTCCCGGTAATGCAGGTGTTGCTGCTCCAGGATCCCTATTTTGAGTAGCAAAGCCATACATGGTGTGCATGTGTATGTGACAGTGGGGGTGGCAAGAGTAAGAAGTTTAAGATTATTCCAATGCCCTTAGCTTGAGCATCTTGGTAAACAGTGGTGCTCTGAACTACGAGAACCTAGTAGGAGAAACAACCTTCGGCAAGGGGGTTATTGGGGAATTAAGTTTTGCTTTGGACATGTTTTTTTAGGTATTTATAAGCCATTTGGATAGGTAGGCTAGTGTCATGATTTGCATCAACAAATTTAGGTTCTAATCCCAGATCTGCTATTTATTTTTTTATTTAATTTATTTATTTTTAGAGAGGGGAAGGGATGGAGAAAGAGAGGGAGAGAAACATCAATGTGTGGTTTCCCCTAAATTGCCCCCCACTGGGTGGCTTGGCCCACAGCCCAGGCATATACCCCAAATGGGAATCGAACCAGAGACCATTAGGTTTACAGTATGGTGCTCAATCCACTGAGCCACACCAGCCAGGCCTCTGTTAATTATTTAGCTATGTGATCTAGGTAAGTGGTTTAAGTTCCCTGAGCTTCCTATTCTTCATTAGTAAAGTAAGGATGTAAAAATGTGTGTTAATGAGGAGTAAATCTCCCTCTCTCTCTCCATATATATATTTTTTCTAGTGTGGTGCTAGCATTGATATCTATAGTAGTTTGTAATTCCAGTCCTTCTTCCCTAAAAACAAATTACATTAATGTACACAATAGAGTGACATGCTCTGTTTTTTAAGGCACCTTCAGAAAAGTACTTTTATTTGCAAAGGCTTGAAATATATTTTATGATCAAGCCAAAGTTCATATCATATAGTTTAATTAAAAAAAACATTTTTACGTAATCAGTGAAATGTTTACTAAAGCAGGAGCTGTTAGCTGCTCTTGCTCCTGCTAAGCTAAATGCCCCTGCTGAGCTAAAAGTGGGGAGCATGTGAGTATATCTGCATGGAGTTACATAATAAAGAGGCAGATGAACCACACAGTTCTGGACAGCACTTGCCACAATTTTAACCTTCCAGGGTATTGAAAAAGAATGTGGTTTCATAAATAAGGATATAAAAAGGGGAAGAAAAGTGAGGAAAAAAGGACACCTCATATCTCTTTTTTTTTATTTTTATTTCAAACTTCACTTTTATTTTATTTTATTATTTTTTTAAGATTTTATTTATTTATCTTTAGAGAGGAAGGGAAGGAGGGAAGGAGAAAAACATCAATGTGTGGTTGCCTCTCGTGAGTCCACTGCCGGGAACTGGCCTGCAACCCAAGCATGTACCCTGACTGGGAATCGAACCTCAATTGTGTGGTTCACAGGCCTGCTGTCAATCCACTGAGCTATGCCAGCCAGGGTTTTGGATATTTTTTAATATTTTTTATTTATTTGTTTTAAAGAGAGGAGAAGGAAAGGAGAAATAGTGAGAGAGAAACATCAATGTGTGGTTGCCTCTCATGTGTCCCTTACTGGGGACCTGGCCTGCAACCCAGGCATGTGCCCTAACTGGGACTCATATCTGTTTAAATTGGCTTCATTTACTGATCTTTCACCAGGAAAAGGGATTATCTTCCTTAATACACATCCAGATTAGGAAGGCTTTTTTTCCCAGGGATACATTGCAGTTTGGGAAGATTGCCCTTTCCTATCCTCTCCAGAAAGCTGCCACCAGACTATTCACTGACTTTCAATAGAATAGAATTGTACATTGATTCTTTACTCACCCCCAAGAAAAATCCCTGCTTCTAGCACATATCTGCCTCCCTTGAGCTGGCCCACATCTTGCAAAGTTTAAGCCAGAAACACTGCTCCAAGGCAAAATTCTTTGGCTCCACTACTTGGTTTTGGGTGTACCTCATCCCATTTTCTTAGCCAAATGACCTTGAGGCTTTATTCTCAATAGAGCTTCCCAAGAACTCCATGGTTTGTGTACGTTGTTTCCCAACTCCTTTCTTCCTATAAACCTGTCCTCACTTTTAGTGCACTCTTTAATGTGGGTGGGCTTAATTGTCACAATAAATAAAAAGGTCCCTCAAATAATTTCTCATTGCAACGTCATGAAAATCACTGAACTCATTTGCCTTTGTATTTTCAGCAGCTGTGCATTATTGCCAAGGTACAAAGAACTGAAGGCTGCCCTAAAAGGGATTTTTTTCCTCAAAGAGGCTAAGAAAGAAAAATATATACTACTCATAAATTGTTTAGATACTGAAGAGGAAAATCTGATGACATTTTGTGAATAATTACAGTGAATAACGAGATTGCAGTGTCAGTGGGGGAAGAGAAGGAAATGCACCATGAAGAAAACTGGGTGGCTTCTGGAGATTTTATATTCTTCCTGTAAAGGCACAAAGAGCTTAATCTAAATAAGGTTTTGAGTTAGAAAAGAAATTGTGTGACTCCAATTCCTGTTACCTTGGATAAGTCAACTCATCCACTTGTGCATTTATTTATGTGCAAAATGGGGAATAAAATCTTCGCAAGACTTTTATAAAGATTGTGTGAGTATGCAGCAGGGTGCAGCCAAGAGGCTGCAAAATAGGGATATATAAAAGCCCCAAATAGGATTTATAAAGGTGTCCAGAACTCAAGATGTCCAGGAGATATTAGAAAAATATATAGGATGTCCTCACCGACACCCCCAGCACAAGGCTGAGCTGAGGGGATAGGACACATGGAGCAGGGCCACTGGGAGCTGTGTTGTATAGCAACAGCTTTGTGGGTAACCTCTGGCATGGTCATTTAACATATCTATAACCTTTAACTGATTTCATAGATATGTTAAATAGCTGTGGCCATGCTTTGCCCCAGGGGATCGAAGTGACGTCCATCCAAGATGTAAATGGAGGGCAGCTCCCCCTGGTTACAGCACCTGTTCCTGCGTGAGACCTCAGAGAAGATTGGCTCCATGCCATGGGGCCGCACCTGCCCAGATTTACTATGGAAGCCCACTAAAACTGGAAGAATATGGGAATGCTGGCAGGTGTAACTGATTGTAGGAGGAGTCAGAAATGGGGCTGTAGAGGAAGATTGATATGGGGATTTAAACCTAAGTATGGCAGCCATACAGGGAAAGAAAGAACACTTTGGCTTTGTCAGAGTGGGGGCCCTGAGGCTTTGGGGTGCTCCCTTTTGCCATGTGGCTTAGGAAGCAGAAGAAACTTTGCCTGGAAGAAAAGGGGTAAAGGACTCTTGCTGGTGGGCCATGAGAAGGTGCCACATGGCTTTGGAATAACTGGAGATCATGGCAGCAACACAGCTGATGGTGCTGGAAGCCCAGATCACAGGCTTCTACTTCTTTTCCTGAGATACAGTACCCCTGACTGGGCAAAGGGGAGAAGGAAGGACTGTGTGTGTCTGTGGGTATTCTAAAGGACTTTTTAGTATTGTAATAAAGATATTAAGTCACTACTCTAAGTCTGTATAGCCTTTAAATAAACATTTCCTTTTCACAAATCTGTCATTGAGAGGCATCTTTCCTCTGGTGGTGGGCATAGCGAACCTAGTGGGGGGGTCCTTTTGGTAGTAGTATATCATACACCCCCCCTTGGCCCTGTTCTATAACAAGTAGGTGAAATCTCTTTAATACATAATAAGAGCTCATTACGTTAGTTGATGCTACTGTGACTTCCCAGAATGGGTCATTCCTTACTCCAAAATTCCAGGAAATTTTTCTGTAGTCTAATACCCTCAACTGTAAAATGGTGTAAGAAACACCTTTATACCTGAGGGTCACTTAGTTTAACATAAAATAAAAAACTGCTTTAAACTTTAGATAGACAAAATACATGTAAACTGGTGGCAAGGCCTACTTTGAAAGTTTTTACTCCGGTGGATGGTGGGAAGTGTAGTTCCATGCTCCAGAGGCATGAGTATAGAAAAGTGTGTAAGAAATTACAATTCCCAGAAATAAAGAATCAGACTATTTCCCAGTAGCACAGTGGGCGGGGATTGGTGATCCGTCTGTAAGTGGGAGAGAAGGTAAAGTTGGGGGAAATGTGGAAAACCTGAACCTGAGCTACTGCCTAATGAGGAAGAATCGGTAGGAGGAAAAGTGGAAGGGAAAAGATGGGTGGAGGGTGAGAAGAAGAGGAGATCTATGTCACTGCCTACTGGTGGCACAAAATTCTTGGCGATGTGGCTAAAGCCTGAGGAGTGCTCCTGAAAAATGCACTGAAGGGAGATTGCTAGTAGATGGTGGCAGAATAGGACAAAGGATTCTGCTCCCCCCCCATGCATGGGAGAAAAACCTGGCTGATCTGTGGAGGAACACAGCAAATAGCAAACGGTGCCCCAGCATATAGGAAAATAGGAGACCAGAAATTGTAGCAGACACTGAAAAACCAGATGGTGAGGAGATGGCTTTAGGTCAATACGGTCCAAGGGAACAGCGCAGAGGCCCCAGGCCAAGGCTGCCACCTCTGCTGGGCCATGCCAGGGCTCGGGCTGGGTCTGCCACAAACTCTTTGGGAGCTGAGGGCTAGCAGCAAGTTCCTTGGGAGAGAGCCGGGTCATCAGCTCCCTCCCTACCTTGCTGGGTGCAGTTTGAAAAACTCCGGGAGAGATCTGTTTGCTTAAAGTGTCAGAGAGAGGAATGGGCACGAGGAAGTGGTCAAGGGGACCTTGATCACCAGTGGAGTCCGTGGTCGGTGGCTTGGGAGAATTGGGAGTCACTCTTGTGATCCCCCTTAGCACTAGGAAAGGTTCACGCCCAAGCCTGCGAGACCGGGGAAGCCTGGCCTGGAGTGTGTGCCTACACCCAAGCCCACGACTGTGACTCCTGGAGAAAGACTGCTCTCAGTGGAGTGCTGGGGACAGGTGCCAGTCTGGAATTTGGGAAAGCACTCCTGAGACCTGCTGAGTTCACCGAGAGGGGAGAAAGGCCAACAATCGCCCCTCAGACTGCTGCAGCCAGTGAGACCAGAAAAAATGGTTTGGCCAGCTAGAAACCAAAAAGAGGTTTTGGGGGAATTTGGGGGGGAATTGGGTTTTTTGTTTTTTTTTAAAATAATCTTTTATTTTTAAACTTTATTATTGTTTTATCTTTCAATACTTTTACCCTCCCTCTTCTTCTTTGTTGTTTTATTCCTTCTTCCTTTCTTTCCAAACTTAGCACTTTTTCCTCCCTCTGCTGACTCCCACCCACACACACACAAGTGAGAAAAAATTGGAACTGTGAAAAGACCAGAATTGGACCTAAAGAGGGGGCATCCGAACAGTAGAGACAGAAAGACAAATTTCACTTTGCTATAGAAGAAAAACTAAAAGTTACTGCATATTTGTATTATTTTTTTCATTATTTTCATTATTCTTACATCTTTTATTTTAATAGTATCTTTGTATTTCTACTCTTTCTGTATAGTCTCCTTTGCCTTGGCTGGATATATTGTATCACTTGACAGGTTTCCCCTGTCCCCTCATTCATAGTGTATCGCTAATTTACTGACCTTTACTTCCCCTTACTCCTTTAGCACACTATTGAAGGTCCAATAATCCCCAATCTTGGTATCTCAGATTCTGTCATATGATTGTTGCTCTAATATTATTGTAAATAATAGCTGTTACATACTATTGTAAATATTACACAACTGCCCCCCCATATCTTAGCCCACTTCATTGTTGCCTGAACTATAATACTGTAGTGGTTAACTCTATTGTCTCACAGACTACACCTATTTACCATCCCTTATTCTCACCTTACCTCAGAATCTGACCTCCCTCAATGTCACTGGTTTCCAGATCTAACTCACAAACCTTCCCTCCCCAACAAGAGCCGTATCTTCTTTCCATCCTTTCTTAAAAGTGGTTAATTGGGTTGAAGATCATGGTTATCACTATACATAGCCAAAGGATCTCCTATCTCTTCTCTACCAGTTGCTACTGTAAATATCATAAAATACTCTCTTGTTGTCATTAACCATTTTGCCATCCCCTCCAAGTGATTACAAAAAAGAAGTGGGTGGAAGTGGTGAAAACCAGGATACCCATTCAAAGAGAAAACCACAAAACAAAGGAACCACCAACAAATAACAACAGAAGAAGGTAAAGGAGGGAGTGGAAACCACACAAACCTAAACCCAAGACCTATCTGGAAATACAACTATGCAGTGGAGAAACTGGCCAGTGCAAACAACTGAACAAGAACAAAAGAGAATCCTCAAAACCCTATACAGGCAGAAGAACTAGCTTTACAACAACCCGCCCTCACCAGCACAACAAATTAATGGGTAGTGGACAGAGGGACCATCAATTTATCAGCTGGTGGGAAGGACCTACAAGAGAAAGACCCCAAAATAACCAAAACCCAAAGACAAAAACAGAGCCAATGTAAAGGACAGCCAAAAACCAGTGAGCTGGGGAGATCAAGGAGACAACACCACTGAATCTCACAGGTATTATACCACAGAAGTTCACACCATAAACCCAGGAAGCCAGAACAAATCAATTTAAGAAGATGAAGCTAACAAGAAGAGTCTCACAAGCGATGGGAAGACAAAGAAAGAACCCCCCCAGTGAAAGGAAAGGAGGAAGCCTCAGAAAGAATGCTATATGAAATACAGGCAAGACAGCTATCAGATATTGAATTCAAAGCACTGGTTATCAGGAAGTTCAAAGAGTTCACAACGAGCTACAAGAAACTACAGGGAGCAACAATAAAGTCACTACAAAGTATATAAACATGAAAAAGGAAATAGAAAGTATCAGCAAGGGCCAAGAGAAAATGAAGAATACAATTTCTGAACTGAAGAACACAGTGGAAGGAATCAAAAGCAGGATCGATGAAGTAGAAGATCAGATCAGTGAGTTGGAAGACAAAGTAGAAAAAAAAGTCTCAGAAAGAGCAAAAAAAGGGAAGGAGGCTCAGAAAGAATGAAGGAGGGATTAAGAAGAATGCATGGCAATATGAAAGATAATAATATACAAATAATAGGGATACTAGAATAAGAAGAAGAGCAAGGGATAGAAAATGTATTTGAAAAAGTAATGGTGAAGAACTTCCCTATTTTGATGAGAGAAAAAGTCACACAAATCCAGGAAACACAGAGAGTCCTGATCAAGAATAACCCAAAGAGGCCCACTTCAAGACACATCATCATTAAAATGGCAAATTCCAAGACAAAGAGAGAATATTAAACACAGCAAAGAAAAAAAAGAAGTAACACACAAGGGAGCCCCAATAAGGTTAGCTGCTGACTTCTCAACGGAAACGCTCCAAGCAAGAAGAGAATGGCAAGAAATATTCCAAGTAATGAGAACCAGAGGCCTGCAACCAAGGTTACTTTACCCAGCAAGGATCTCAATCAAGATAGAAGGCCAAATATAGACCTTCCAAGACAAAGGAAGTCTAAAAGAATACACCTCCACTAAACCAGCTCTACAAGAAATACTAAAATGACTGCTTCAAGGAAAGAAAGGAAAAGAGAGAGACACAGAGAAACACAAGTATAAAAATGACAATGAATAAGTACCTATCAATAATAACCTTAAATGTAAATGGATAAAGTGCTCCAATCAAAAGACATAGAATAGCTGAATGGATAAGAAAGCATGACCCACACATATGCTGCGTACAAGAGACCCACTTCAGGACAAAAGACCTACACAGACTGAAAGTGAAGAGCTGGAAACAAATTTTCCAAGCAAACGGGCAGGGGAAAAAAAGGCAGGATAGCAATACTCATATCAGACAAAATAGTCTTCAAAAAAGGGCCATAAAAAGAGACCCAAAAGGTCACTTCATAATACTCAAGGGAAGAACTCACCAAGAAGTCATAAACATTGTAAATATATATTCACGCAACATAGGAGCACCCAAATATATAAAGAAAATCTTAGAGGGCTTCAAAAAAGATATTGACAGCAACACAATTATAGTTGGGGATTATAACACCCCAATGTCAAACATGGACAGATCTCCCAAACAAAAAATCAACAAAGATATTGTGGCATTGAACAACGTCCTAGATGAAATGGATTTAACTGATATATATATATAGAGAGAGTCCTTCATCCCAAAGAAGCTAAATACACATTCTTTTCAAAGTCACATGGAACATTTTCAAAGATAGACCACATGGTAGGACACAAAACAAGCCTCAACAAATTTTTAAAAATTGGAATCATCCCAAGTATTTTCTCTGATCACAAGGGACTAAAACCGGAAACCAACCCCAGAAGAGAAGGCCCAAAACACTCAAAATCATGGAGATTGAATAGCATGCTATTAAACAATGAATGGGTCAAGAATGAAATTAGGGAAGAAATCAAAAAGTTTCTGGAGAAAAATGAAAATTAACTCACGACAACCCAAAACTCATGGGACACAGTGAAGGCAGTCCTCAGAGGGAAGTTCACTGCAATACAGGCCTACCTAAAAAAAGATAGAAACATTTCAAACAAACAACCTAACCCTACACCTGTAAGAACTCAAGGAACAACAACAAAGACAGCCCAGAGCAAGTAGAAGGAAGGAAATAACCAAGATCAGTGCAGAATTTAATGACATAGAGACTAAGAGCACAATTCTAAGAATCAATGAATCCAGGAGCTGTTTTTTTTAAAAGAGAAACAAAATAGAAAAGCCTTTAAGCAAACTCAGTGATAAGAAAAGAGAGAGGACCCAAATAATCACAATCAGAGATGAAAGAGGGGTGTTTACAACTGATGCCACAGAAATACAAAGGATTGTAAGAAATTACTATGAATGACTGTATGAATAGAAACTTGAAAACTTAGGTGAAATGGACAAATTTCTAAAATATATAAAATCTTCCAAAACTCAATGAAGAAGCAGAAAGCCTGAATAGACCAATAACAGCAAATGAAATTGACTCAGTAATCAAAAATCTTCCAAAGCATAAAAGCCCTGGACCAGATGGTTTCACAGGAAAATTCTACATAGCATTTAAGGAAGAGCTAACCCCTAATATTCACAGGCTACTCCAAAAAATCCAAAATGATGGAAGACTCCCAAACTCTATTTATGAAGTCAGCATCATCCTAATCCCAAAACCAGATAAAGATACAACAAAGAAAAAAATTTCAGGCCAATATTGCTGATGAAGATAGACACTAAAATCCTCAACAAAATATTGGCAAACAGCATCCAACAATACATTAAAAAGATCATACACCATGACCAACTTGGATTCATCCCAGGGATGCAAGGATGGTTCAATATTCGCAAATCAGTAAATGTAATATATCACATAAACAAAAGCAAAGAGTAAAAACAGTCTATTCAGATTTCATATCTCAATGAGGCTCTATTGTTCCACAGTTCTAGTTCTCCAGAATCTTTTTAAATATTCTAAATATAAAAAAAATCCTTCTCAGAAGAAAAAAGCATTTAAAAGTATGCTAATCCCTATAGAATTGTACAACTGAAATCCCTATAATTTTATTAACCACTATCACCTGAATAAACACAATAAAAATTTTCTTTTAAAAAAAAAAGCAAAGACAAAAATCACATGATCATACTAATAGATGTGGGAAAAGCTTTTGATAAACTACAACACCCATTTATGATAAAAACACTCAGCAAAGTGGGAATAGAGGGAGCATTCCTCAATATAATAAAGGCCATTTATGAGAAACCTACAGCCAACATCGTACTCAATGGGGAAAACTAAAACCTTTTCCACTAAGATCAGGAACAAGACATGGTTGTCCACTTTCACCACTTCTATTCAATATAGTATTGGAAATGTTAACCACAACAATCAGACAAGAAAGGAAAATAAAAAGCACCCAAATCAGAAAGGGGGAAACAAAACTATCACTGCTTGCAGATGACATGATAGTGTATATGGAAAATACAATAGACTCTACCCAAAAACTGCTCAAGCTAATAAATGAATTTGGCAAAACAGCAGGATACAAAGTCAATATCTAGAAATAAAAGGCATTTTTGTATACCAACAATGAAACAACAGAAGCAGAAATCAAGAAAAAAATCCCATTCGATATAGCAAAAAGAAAAATAAAATACCTAGGAATACACCTAACCAAGGAGGTAAAATACCTGTATGCACAAAATACACAACACTGAAGAAATAAATCAAGGAAGACACAAACAAATGAAAGCATATACCATGTTCATGGATTGGAAGAATTAACATCATCAAAATGTCCATGCTACCCAAAGTAATTTATAGATTCAATGTAATACCTATTAAAGTACCAATGACATATTTCACAGACATAGAACAAACACTTCAAAAAATTTATATGGAACCATAAATTACCCCGAATAGCAGCTGCAATTTTAATAAAGTAGAACAAAGTAGGAGGAATCACAATACTTTATACCAAACTGTATTACAAGGCCACTGTAATCAAAACAGCCTGGTACTGGCATAAAAGCAAACACCTAGACCAATGGAACAGAACAGAAAGCCCAGAATTAAACCCAAGTATCTATGGGCCATTCATATTGGATAAAGGGGGCAGCAACATAAAATGGAGTAAAAATAGCCTCTTCAACAAATGATGTTGGGAGAACTGGACAGATATGTGCAAAAAATGAAACTCAAGCACTAACTTACACCATACACCAAAATAAATTCAAGGTGGATAAAAGACTTAAATATAAGCCATGACACCATTAAAGTCCTAGAGGAGAACATAGGCAGGAAAATCTCATATTTCACACACCAACATTTTTACTGATATGTACCCTAGAACAAGGGACATAAAGGAATGAATAAACAAATTGGATCTCATCAAAATAAAAGCTTCTGCATGCTTAAAGAGAACATAAAATAAAAAGAGAACCAACTATATGGGAAAACATATTTGCCAATGATACCTCAGACAAGGGTTTAATCTCCAAAATATACAAAGAACTTACATGACTCCACTCTAGGAAGACAAACAAACCAATTAAAAAGTGAGCAAAGGACTTAACAGACATTTATCCAGGGAAGACATACAGAAGATTCAGACACACATGACAAGATGCTCAATATCACTAGCTATCAGAGAGATGCAAATTAAAACCACCATGAGATACCACTTCACACTGGTTAGAATGGCCATCATTAACAAAGCAACAAAGAACAAGTGTTGGAGAGGTTGTGGAAAAAAGGGGACCCTAATCTATTGTTGGTGGGATTGCAGACTGGTACAACCACTATGGAAAACAGTATGGAATTTTCTCACAAACTAAAAATGGACCTGTCTTTTTACCCAACAATTCCACTGCTAGGATTATATCTTAAGATCCCCAAAACACCAATCCAAAAGTACCTATGCACCCCAATTTTCATAGCAGCACAATTTACAATAGCCAAGAGTTGGAAGCAACCTAGGTGCCCATCAGTAAATGAATGGATCAAAAAATTATGGTACATATACACAATGGAATTTTATGCAGCAGAAAGAAAAAAGGAGGTACTACCCTTTGTAACAGTATGGATGGAACTGGAAAACATTATGTTGAGTGAAATAAGCCAGTTGTTGAAAGACAAATACCATATGATCTCACCTTTAACAGGAAGCTAAACAACAATACAAACAAGTAAGCAAAATATAACCAAAGACACTGAAATACAGAACAGGCTGACAGTGACCAGAGGGTAGAGGGGAAGGAATTTCAGGGGGAAAGGGGAAGGATTTACAGGAACTAGTATAAAGGTCACATGGACGATAACTAATGGGGGTGGAAATAGGAGTGAGGTGGAGATCATTTGTGGGGGGTGGGCTGGGAGAGGAGTGAAAGAAATTATTGTACTTGGACAACAATTAAATTTAATAAATTTAAAAAAAAATTAAATGCACTGAAGCTGTAGCTGATGGAAAAATCCAATGACTACTTTGTGCTGCAACTGCATCAGGGCTTTGTGGAGGAAGGTGGAGGGGGGCTCTCAGGTAAGTTGTGGCTACCACCACTTGTCTGGGGCCCGTGGTCAGTGGTATTTAAAAGGTGGCAAGGACAACAGTTAACTACACCTGCCACAAATGCAAAATTTTGGGTGGAGAATTTGGGGTGGTTCTCTACCTACCACTTTTGCATTGCTCTCCCCTAGTTCTGAGAATGCATCCCTGGATCAGCAGTTGCTCTTTAGGTTGGATTGGGAAATGGAGGAGCAGTTCTTTCTGAGGTAAAGTACCCCCTGCCCCATTGCTTCTCAAGTGGGAGAAGTCTGATAATGAGTATTAGACCCCCACAGGTTGCATTTAGTCTGATTACTGGGGCCACTTCACAGTTGTGAACCTAACTTTTTCCACAAAACCCCCTATTGATAATCACCACCTTGAGTGTGTGTGTGGGGGCAGGTTGGATGTTGAGAAAGAAAGAAGTCCCATCACATCCTGAAAGACTGACTTAAAATAAGAATGTAGGGAGTGGGTGGATGCCTAGGGAAAGGTCTCTCGAATTGCTTGACCTCTTGGAATTCAGCATTTTTTTTACTTGCTCTCCAGGGTTTTAATCCTTGGGATCCTCTCTCAAAGTAAGTGTCTCAATTTATGTATGTTTTGAGTGTTTGGCACTGCTCTTATCTTTCAAGACAGCATGATATAGCAGAAAGAGGGAACAGTGGGAAATCCAGCATTATAGTACCATTTTCATCTCTTGTTAAATGGCGTTTGACAGATTCTCCCATTTATTCAATCTTAAGCCCCTACTATGTGCCACATGGAATTCTAGGGTACGAAGACAATTAAGATTTGGTTTCCTGACTTGAAGACCTAATAATTCTGATAAGTAGGGGAGGGTCAGGTTAGGGGGAAGTAACCAGTAAATCAGGAAAATTATAATTATAACCAGTAACTAGTAAACCAGCTAAATTACATTTAGAACCAAATAACTGAAGAATTAGATAGATTCATCAAGTATATGACATTGCCTTTCCTCTTCTATAGAATGGGGTTTACTTCAGAGTTGAGACGACAAAGTGAAAGATAATAGATGCCAAATTATTGTGTATTGTTAAGATCTGTGATGTTATTTCCTTTTTTTTCAAGCCACCTTCAGAGTGGAGAGAATTTTGAGATTCTACAAGACATTTAAAAAAATCTTTCAAGACCTATCTTATCCAGCTTTTGACTCTCTTGTAAATATGGCATGACAATTGCCTCATTAAAGTTGACATTTTTTCATTTCCTGGATTTTACAAAGGTGTGTTATTTCATTTCTTAGAGGAATCTTTTCATTTAGTAGGTGCATATATTTTTCAGATTAAGATTTGAGACTCCAGTGTTCATAATTACCCAATGATGTAATCTATCCTCTTAGTCCATTGAGAACAGGTCAGAATATATTTAAATAGATCCTTATAGCCCTGTGTCACAGCATAATATTTTGTTTCTCCATAATTTTATTTGACCAGAATTTTCTAGTGTTCTTGCCCACATTTACCTGATTTTGCCCACATTAAGAAGTGTATTTTGCTTTGTACAACCATGTTCCCAAAAAATAGTAGGCAAGGCATTCTTAAAAATCAAATCACTGTAATGTATTAAATGGTTCTTTACTTTTTGCATATTTTCTTTAAATAATAACTCCTTGTTTTCTGTGTTAGATTTTTCATTTGGTGTGAAGCTATTACACCAGTTTCTTACTTCTATCCCACACACTCCCACTTAATCTTCCCCATATCTCTAGAATAAGAGATTTGTCTGAAGAAATGAACCAAGATTTCTACCACACATGTTTGTTGAGAATAGCCATAGCCCATTTTTGTTGTTAATTTATATCTCTGCATGATTGTTTTACCTGTGGTATTGTAAAGATGCTTCAAATTACTACTTGAGAGTTGACACTATGTTCCCTGTAAATTAAACAATGGGTAAAAAAGGAGCAAAGAGATTTTTGTTTATCTGGTCTAGAACTAAAGTGTGTACTGATTTTCATGGCTTCTGAATTACCAAATTTTACTTAAAATTGTGAAGCCAACTTTCTGTCGTTTACCACAAATCCACATGTGGATTAGCTCCCACAGGAGTTTTACTGTGTGCATGAATAAGGTTGCCTTTGTCCATTTTGTTTGCTAAAATTCAGTATTATGTACTATTCCTTTAAAATATTTTTATACATTTTGTTTAATGAAGAAAAGATAATGACCATCTAAAAATGTTAACAGTTTTATTTTCTTTAGGATTTCACTTCTTTGATTTCTAATAATTAACAATAACCAGCAGCAATATAATGACTTTTGCTGTGGGGATGGTGACTCTATTTTTTTTTCTAATAATGGAATTGGAGCAATAGAGAACCTTAGTATGGTTACAGTAGGAGACTGGTTTGGAAGTTAGATTTCTGAGATCCTTTTTTAAATTCTGAAACATTTTTGGTGGATATCTGGTAGATTATTTACCATTTTCTTGACATTATCTTATTTAATTGTCCTGGTTCACAGCAGAGTGGAATATCTTATGGATACTCTTATTATGCATAGCATTATTTTACAGATTAAGTTACATTCTTTCATTTAGAGAGATAATTTACCATTCTGGATTTTTGCGGTTACCTTACATTATTCCTTGTTTCTCCTGCCTGGTTAAGGGTAATATCTTTTCCATGGCATTTAAATTTGGCACCTGGTTTTATGTAATTAAGAATAATTTATGCATATTTGTCTTATTAAGCACAAATCAATTTGCTCTACTTGGCAGGTGGGAGCTACTACATGAGTGGAATTATGGTACTATATTCTATAAAGTACTTCAATGTATGGGATTTAGGAAGATCTGACAATCAGGAACATAGCGTGCTTTGCTCTCCCCAGGGGTTAACCTTATGGGATTTTCTTTTTAATAAGTTAACTATAAGCCAATATCCACAAATATATGAATACACCACTGAGTATGACAATTCCACTTACAGCATTAGCCCTGCTTTCTTTATCTTTCCAGATTCTTTAATATGTTTTATGCTTCTTTTCAGCTGTAATTGTTTTATAAATGTTTTTTTATCTGTAAAATGGGAATAAAATTATCTTCCCTAAGTTGCCACATTATTGAGTCAAGTGAGTTTTGAAAGCTATGAGCAACTATATAAATATTTGATGTTCATTTATCTATTTTTTTAAGATTTTATTTATTTATCTTTAGAGGGGAAGGGAAGGAGAGAGGGAGAGAAACATCAATGTATGGTTGCCTTTTGTGCGTCCCCTGCTGGGAACTGGCCTGCAGGGAACTGGTCTGCAACCCAGGCATGTGCCCTGACTGGGAATCGACATTTATCTATTAAAGAAGGAATAAGATTCTCTGTCTGGTGTGTCTCAGTGGATTGAGTGCTTTCCTGTGAACCAAAGGGTTACTGATTTGATTCCTAGCCTAGAGCATATGCTTGGGATGTGGGCCAAGTCCCCAGTAAGAGGTACGTGAGAGGCAACAACACATAGATGTTTCTCTCTCTCTCTCTGCCTTCTTCCTTTTTCCTCCCTAAAAATAAATAAATAAAATCTTTTAAAAAAGGAGTAAGATGTTGAGTACCATTTTCCCCAGTAATTATTTTTCCCATGTTGTATATAGAAATTGAGTTAGAGTAGCAACACTGAGTATATCCAATATGCAGTTATATCACTGTAAAAACAGATACACTGGTAGTTCATTTAAGAATTTTGGTAGGATGATGATTGTGCATTTATGGTTTATAATCAGAATAATGTACAACAATTAGAATAAAGTATCACAACAGCATTACCAGTAGTTTTTGATTTACAGTTGCAGAAAACCTATAAGTTCTCAGAGCTACAGATATAAATATCACTTGTCTTACTGAGTGGTATTGAAGATTACATATAACCTTAGTTATCATAGTATATTTTTAAAAACATAATACTTAAATAATAATACTTAAATAGCCTGAGAACCAAAGGATCATGGTTCGATTCCCAGTCAGGGCACATACCTGGGTTGCAGGCCAGTTCCCAGAAGGGGATGCATAAGAGGCAACCATACATTAATGTTTCTCTCTCTCTCTCTCCTTCCCTTCCCCTCTAAAGATAAATAAGTAAAATTTAAAAAAAAGAAAAGAAATGTGATGGTACAAGATATATTCAGTCAACAGATAATTACAGATGCCTTCTAAAAACCAAACACTGTTTTAGGTGCTGACGATAACAGCCACAAGGAAAGCAAAATCCCTGTTCAAATGGGGCTAACATTTTAATTGCAGAAGCCAAATAAACCAATAATGTGTTATATGGCTGGTGATGATGAGCAATATGAAAAAAATAAATGTATAAGGATACAGAGGGGAGGGGCTTGCTATGTAAGCTAAATTTGTTCTGAGAAGACCTCTTTAAGGTGACCTATGAGCAGATGCCAGAGGGACTAGAGTTATATGAGCCAAGAAGATATTTGGAGGCAGAATGAACATATATAATTCTTTCTAGGAATTTTGCTGTGAAGGGAAACTGAGAATGGCTTGGTAGCTGTTTACTGTGCTGGATGTTGGGTATACAATGGTGAATAAAACAGAAATAGTTCTTACCCTCACAGAGTATAATCTGGTGGCACAGACAGATAATAAACAAGTAAACAAACAAATATGTAATTAATAGGTCAATAACATCAGCCTGGTTTGGGTGCCTTCTAAACAGTCATTAATATAGGGTACTGGAAACCCCTAAGTAATTTTCCAAGACTAGCTATGGTGTAAAGTATGCTGATAACATGTCCCAGCAGGGGTGTCCAACCTGTGGCCCATGGGCCACATGTGACCCAGGAGGGCTATGAATGCAACCTAACACAAAATCATAAGTTTACATAAAACATTGTTTTGCTCATCAGTTTTCATTAGTGTTTGTGTATGTAATGTGTGGCCCAGAGACACCAAAAGGTTGGATACCCCTGCAAATGATACAAACATTTCCTAAAGACTGATTAATAACAACAAGTGGTATTCTGCTGACAGAATT